TGGAGGGCCTTTTTAAATAAGGTATGAACCTTCGGGTTACATAAGACAAGAATAATTTATTGGCTAGCTCAGCGTACTACTTATTAGCTTCTCAAGATGGACTCTGTCCCATGGAGTTAATTTAGATATTACTCTTCATGCGTTTTAAAAAATTAAGTTCCAGTAAGATTCTGTAACTTCCAGCGAAAGAATTCGACACCTGCAATGCAGCAAACGCAAGAATTTTCCTTGCGTCCAACATCTGCGTTTCTTTTGTATTCCCAACTCGTACCGAGAAGGGTGTTTCGACAACATGACTTGTGCATTACTCAGGGATCACACCTCTGGACTTCTCACCAATTACTGCCTGTTACCTGCCTAATAAATGAACTATATGTATCCTCAGGTGTGTATATTTGGTTTTTATAATTAAGAAAGAGTTTAATTAGTCTAAGACAACGTAAGACTGGTAAAGTAATAATTTAGTTAGCACAACACCTATTTGAAACCGCGGTAAAACAAACTGTATGGAACACTGTCCTTATTGGGTGAAACTGACAGTTGCCTAGATAGGCAAATTGTTCCCTGCCTGTTATGAAAACCCACGAACTGGCTACTGGTTTTTTCAACTAAAATTCTAAAAAAATCGGCAAGACTTTCTCATCTGTCCTCTGCTAGGTGTATCACCCTTTTCACCGCAACATTATTAGTATAAGAATACAAATTAAACTGCTTTTAATGAAAACGTTATTCATTACAAATATATTCTGGGAACTGAGCCAAGTTATAACATTTCTGTTGTCAGCCCTGGAAATGTCGCTCTGGGCAATAGAATTATCAGCTGGGTACATCATTACATGGTTATTATAAAACTATGGCGTAATAAATTGTTAATTGCTTGCTGACAGGACCACGAGGAAGCAACGCCAAGTGTGGTCTCTCGATGAACTACTACATCCATAATAAAAGAAAGAGAAAGCGCTCTCTATCGACACCGCTGCAGGAAAGACTGTCACTTGTTACGGGCGTGAAATTATTTCATGATAATCTGAATTGAGGAAATAAAATACGTACAAGTTATCAGGAGATCAACTTGCGCATAAACCAACTGCATGAAGTAGAGAACTATGCGAGAAGCATAATTTAAGTACCATTCCATAAAACATTACAAATTCCGAGAAGCATAATTTAAGTACCATTCCAAAAAACATTATAAATTTCTTTATTAAATAAAAAAATCAGTTTCATTACGGGGGCCCTACTAATTTGAATTAAGTTAAAAGAGAAAAAAAATTTTCCGTATAGGTCTATACATTTTTCCACACATCCTTCAAAACATCGTTACACTTGTGCTCGTTAAACGATAACGGGAAGCCAACTGGAAAGCACCAGGCACTGTACTAATTATTATGGAACAAACAGATGAAGCCGTGCATGGATCTCAATGCTCAGGGTCCCCTTTCGGCCTTAGGGCAGCCAAAAGTTAACTGCACATATCATTAGTTTCGTTAAAATAACACCTTAATCTAAAACACAAAGATAACCTACAAAAATTATATAACAAAACTTTAAAAAGAAAGTTAAAATCCCAAGAAGGTTACTTCGAGATTATTCAACTGTTACTAATTAACTCTATGGGGCAATGCAACCTGAATACTAAGAAACAAATATTACACTCAGCTATTCAAGAAATTCCCAACCCTTTATAAAACGTGATGGTTCATTATCGTGTTCACAACAGCCCACCAGAAGTTCCTATCCTGAATCAGGTAAATCTAATTCATATCTTCATCCCTATTTCCCTAAGATCTATTTTAATATTATCCTCCCATCAAAAAACAGTATTCTGAATGTTATCTTTCCCACAGACTTTTAACTAAAATTTTATACGCATTTCATACCTCCCATGTGCGCTTCATGCTCCATCTACCAAATAGTCAGTAATATTTCGTAAACGTACAAATTACGTATCCCTTATCTCTTCATCTCTTGTATGAAAACATTACCTTCTGCATCCAATAATCGAACATCCTCATCTGTGCTGTTCTCTTAATGTGAGAGACCAAGTTTCACACCCATACAAAACAGAAGACAAAGTTATCAGTTCTTATATTAAAATCTGACTGTATTCCAAGCAGATTTTCTTCTGGGTTGTTGAACCGTGAATTCTGATACATCGCCCTAGTAATGAGGCAGCGAGTACCAGCCTCCTGATTAATGCAGTCGAAGTATTTTTGGAATAGCCCAAATCTATTGATCTATGATTTTTGTTAGCCATTTGAAATACCTCTGACCAAAAGACAGCACTTTTAATTTACACAAACAGGTCGAAGATAAATAAAGTATTAAAATTGTCTTAAAGGGAATGTAACGCTTATTTTCTTCGGACAAACTTTATGATCTGACGTCCAAATAATATAAAACTGATAAATATATCCGAATTATAAACTGTGTATCTTACGTGTTTCGCTCATAGTTGAGCGTCGAGATAAGTAAAAATAAACACGTTAAATAACCTACTAAGTGTTTTGTTCATAAATGGATCTTCTCTTGTTAGGCAACGCTGTGACGAGAAAGCAGTCCTACTTCCACAATTTCTCTGATAAAAATACTGTATTTAAAGAGATTTTGGTACTTCCCACGTTAACATGTTCTCTAGAACAGTGGTATCCAACCTGGGGTACGCGTACCCCCGGGGGTACGCGAAGACATCTTAGGGGGTACGTGAAATTTAAAAAAAAAAATATATATTATTTTATGATAAACACTGAATAATCAGTAATGTAATTTATTTAATTTATTTTAGATGTAGATTATATACTATGTATAACTTGAATTATACACCAACATCTTTGGGGGTACAAAGTTGAAGAGAAATTATATCTGGGGGTACGCGAACAAAAAAGGTTGAAAACCACTGCTCTAGAAGACAGTTAATGAAAAAGTGTAACCGTGTATGACACAGGGCTACTCTAACCCCACTTGCGTTGTGGCAGTGTCATACATAAGTGACACGATGTTTAATATTACCGAGACATCTGTAGAATCTTTCCACAGTTTTTGTAGTCATATGCTAGGACTATATTTTGTTAATCGGAAGTCAATCTCAATGAATTGTCAGTTGAGTAGGAGATAACTCCACAGGGCAAAATGCTTCTTGAAAATCTGACAGTCGGAAAACATGTCAAGAAATTCAATGCCTTGTATGAAGAACTCGCATGTTCATTACCATTTTCACAAAATCCCAAAACTGGGCATTATCCTGAGTCAGATAAGTCCAGTAGACACCGCCACAACAGAATTCCCTAAAATAATTTTAATACTTCCATTTCATCTACATACATGTAGGTCTCTCCTGTTGTCTATACCATTAATTTTTTACGACAAACTTTTTGTATGCATTTGCCGTCTCTCCTATACATGCTGCATACTACATCCATCTCATTTCCTTTGATTTGATAACAAGTAAAGTTAGTTTAATAATGCCACTGAAGCACGTTTCTTGTTATTAATATTTTTAAGTTAAGTGTATTTTTAACTGTTAAGCTGCCTTGTAAACTGGTTCCTAATGAGTGATAATGATGACAATGTTTGAAGGCAAAAGGTACTCTTACGGCACGATACTAGAAATTGATCCAGTGAACTTGTATGTACCTGGGATACCAAATGACAGATTTGAACCGTTGACAAATGCTTGAGTTTCTTATTAATTTTTACTGACCGAAAAATATACCACTGTCTTCATCATTCAATAAGTACCGCCGAATATCATATAAAATATTTTTATTTTGTTCCTAAACCCAACGTCTTTACAGAGATTTTATTCCCGGATAGTTCTCGGGTTTGCTACCTTAGTTCATATTGTCTACCCGCCCAGAGAAACAATTTTGGCCTCTGAGTTGTTCTTCAATCGTGATTAATTTCTGAGCCCCAGGAAACATTTATTACAATTTCTTTAATAAAGAATGAGTCATTTTTCTTCTGCATCACGAATTTGGTCCTCGAACTGCGATTCTTAAATAATTCTGAAATAGAGAATCCTTTAGATATTTCACAGGGTTCGTTGGTCAAAGGATCGGTTAATCGCAGGGTTTATTATACACAAGTAGAACAAAACATGGAATAAAGCGAACACACAGTTATGCATCTAGACATGAAGATGCACTAGATAGGCGAAGGAAGAAGTCTATGGACAAATCTTAAGAGAGAAAAAGAGAGGACGGTGGTACACATTCTGAGGCACCCAGGATTGGTTAATTTGGTAATGGAAGGAACAGTTGAAGGGAAAAATTGTAGGGGGAGACAAAGATTGGAACATGTGACGCAGATGTTTCAGGATGTGGGTTGCAAAAAATGTGTGGAAATGAAGAGATTGGCGCAAGATAAGCGAAAATGGAGGACCGCGTCAAACCAGTCGAAAGACTAATGACAAATAAACAAGTTGTCGCATTATAATATATAAGTTACGGTATAACTATTTATTCTGATGCTAAGTGGCAAATTTCTGGATCAGACTTACATAGTTATGAAACACAATGTAAGAAAAAAATTTATGTAGATAAATCTTCATAAACGAGGTTTGCGTTCCTGTGAAAACTCTTAAAATCGCAACTTATTACAATCACTATTTTGATGTTAAACTTATCAACTACATCACAATTCCTGATAGGACTGGAGAAGGTTAGACGCAGATAACAGGCTTTTAAATCTGGCCATGGTTAGGAAATTAATGCTTCTCATGATACTATAAAAGACATAACAAAATCACGTATGTCGAGGGTCACCCGTGTACCCCTGAACTTCTGTGGCTGTTGTATTTGGTAACATATATTCAGAGGTGGTTCAACATTAGCAAAGAATATAGTTTAAGGGAGAGTGAAATAAAAACGCAACAAAAAAGAAATTAAAACAGATGACTGCCTCCACCACTACTCGTTCTCACGCAAGGCTCAGCGTCTGCTCCCACCATGAGATTACCTAACTTTTACTGGGTATCTGCAAGCGAGAGTATAAAAGAGGTAAGCTCGCATGTCGGATCATCACTGATCGTCCACACACACAAAACTCCCAGCGTTTTCGGGCAAGAATGGCTTTCACAAAGGTATGTAAACATTACACTGACTTGGCAGTTTCTCCGGGGGTGACGCTGTGGTTCTACGAGTGCTTCAGACCTGACAGAAACTAACGGAATTACATCAGTGATAGACTGAGAACACCAACAGTTTATTGAAGGGTACCATTGCTACAAAATCAGCAACGGACGAAGTGAGATTTTGTTAGTTAGTTTTAATTTGTTATAGAGACGAATTGTTGCTTATGTAACCAACAGCGATCCATTTCATGTATATCCGTGACGTAAGACCACTCATATAAAAGAACAAGTTACTAGTAATATTAACAGTTCATAAAGACAGTTTAGCAGAAAAATTCTAAGATGGATTTATTCTCTGAAAATATTTAGAGTAAATTACTTTGAACGTTTTATGGATTTGTGTGTTGATGTTTTTAATCTAGCATAGCGGTGTGTTATGGGTGGGAAACTATGATTACTTTAAAAGAATCGTGTTGGTGCACATACCAAAACGAAACAAGAAACCGTTACGGTTACCTTTACTGTTATGTTTGAAAACTGAGAGGTACTTGCTGAATACATTATAGGAATGGAGAAGTGTTCAGAAAAGTGAATCTTACGGAGAGTAAGCTGTAAGGGAAAATTTTATACACACTTAGGCCTAAACATCTGAAGTCAATAAACTATAATCCCCCATTATTTGAAGACGTGAGAGTTTAATTAAATATCTTTGCCAGTTTTATACAGCGTTGCTTCAGACACTTGTCACTGCGGTGAATTTACTTCAATTATCGATACATCAGTTCGGAGGCCGCGAAGATTTTGTGGTGAAACATGGCGCGTACTGGCACTGTAACTGGAGAAATACATGCCTTGCGTTCTGGAAAATTCAAGACTTTCATGTTCATGTCATTATAAAGGCAGGAAAAAAATTATATAAGAAACATTAGCATGGCAATCATGGCGCGTACTGGCACTGTAACTGGAGAAATACATGCCTTACGTTCTGGAAAATTCAAGACTTTCATGTTCATATCATTATAAAGGCAGGAAAGAAATTATATAAGAAACATTAGCATGGCAATAGCTTTCTATTATGTTCTACTGACTTATGTGGCATGTTCACTACAAACAGTTGGAATCTCTAACTTTAACGCTATGCAAATTAAGAATAATAATTGTACTGACGAAACGATGCGCAGGACATTATCATAGCATATACAGTAACGAACTTCAATTAAGATTTAAAATTGTTACTTCGTTGTCAGAAGACTTTAAGAGTAATTTATCTTCTCGGTGTTAAAGGTATCTACAAACTGTCTTTAAATTAGTGATAACTAAAATCAGTTCTTTATTATTAGTGCGCCAGAAGGCCAATTACAGATACAGCACAAGAGAAAAACAAAAGAACACAATAACAAGTACAGAAAGGTAACAAAAACAGACTTAAAAAAATTACATGAGTGTGGAGGGGATTTATACATAAAGAAAACTTGCTACTGATTCCATAAATACCTTTGTAATAAAAGTTCAACTAAATGAAGTTAATTAGATTAAAATAAGAATTTTTTTTAAAAACATACAAGGTAGTAGATCAGATAATTTTCATAATTACAATGGTGAGTAGTGGATGAGAGAACAAGAAATAATATTTATGCTCGTATATTGAATGTAATTAACATCTAACACATGGATATCAACACAGTTAATGCAATATGTGATTAAGGAAAAAGATTTTTGTTTCAAATATATTGTGCAGACAACGTTAGCAGCTAATGCGCATCTAGGAAGTGGATTGTTTTGATTTGATTGACTGTAACTGAACATAGAGAAGTCTCTCAAATACCGAGTAGGAATTCGAAGACCAGCAGCTTCCAGAAGGGAAGGCCAGTATTTAAAACCACGGTAAGCTTGGACAAGGGACAGACCATCAATGCAATACCTCCTCTTATATATAAGGTTTTCGGTTTTAACTACTGTAAATCGTTAAAATATCTGTAATACACAAGGGACAGGAAATTATTATAGTAAAGGACTATAAACTTCTGCTGCATACTTCACAGTTTATTGCCATCAATACTCGTAATAGAATTCCAAACGACTAAAGCGTACTCGAACTTTGATCTATCTGCGTTAAAGGTAGAAAACACGTAGTAATCATGGTTGTGGAATCAAGTTTAGTCAATAAATATCCCCAGGACTTTAACAGAGTCGGTGCTTGACAAAGTTTATAATGGTAGATCAAAGCACTGGTTTTTCTTGAGAAGGAAATTACTCTAGTTTTACGAGTGTTGAAGTTCATGAAGCTAGCAGTGCACCAACCTTGTACAGAGTCAATGTTAGTTTCAAGTTGAATGTATTCGTTAGGAGATTCAATGGAGCGAAAAATTTTGATATCATCAGCGAATGTAAGACACCTAGTGCGATTAATTACATTGCATAAGTCATCAACGAATAGGATGGAAAGCCGAGGCCCCAAACAGATCCCTGTGGAACGCCAGAGAACATTATAAAATGAGATGAAAGTTTTCCACAAACATAAACCTGAGATTGTCTGCTGTTTAAATAACTGCAAAACCAGTTTACATAATCACTAGGAATTCCAAAAGTGCCGATCATTTGGAGTATAAGGGTATGAGGGACTAGGTCAAAAGCACTTCTAAGAACAAAATAAACAGCAACAGCTTGACCCTGGGAGAAAATTAATGGGGCAATAAAGTTCAGATAAGTTGTCAGATTGGTTACGGTGGATTTAGATTTTATAAAACCGTGCTGACAATGATTTAATTTAGACTTTACGTAATGTGAGGCATAACCATGAATAACAAGTTCAAATAATTTAGAAAAAGTATTAAGTATAGAAATGGGTCGATAGTTACTAACAGAGTCAGATTTACCTTTTTTAAAAACATGAAGTACTGCTGCCTGTTTCCATACAGAAGGAAAATAACGTTGTGTTAAACTTAAGATTAAAGAAACGTTTAAGAAACAGAGGAACAAGGACCTCAGAACAACTCTTTATACCAAAGCTAGGAATGTCATCAAGTCCGACAGATTTAGATGATTTTAAACGTCTAAGTACTTTATAATTGTCCAATAATATGAAGAATTTTAGCTATTTAGCTACTAGTACCTAGTAATAATATTATAAAACCAAATATTAGCTAAGTGCATCGCGCAGGGACCAAGTCGAGAATGTGACAAATCTCTAAGCTAATCGTACTTCGCATAGAATAAATCTTCATCGGTTCGACCCTTATTAGGCCCTTTCGTTTTGTAGCCCTAAAAGGGCATTTTTTCTATGAACTTTATGGAATTTTTGTTTCCCATATCCAGTAGCCCGGAAAGGACTTTCCCATCCTTGCCATGTTACTTACCTATCTTGTTGCCATTTTTGGCCTAATTCACCCACACTTTCGATGGTACGGTTCCACTTCTTGTTTGCATCTACCCTGAAAATGGAGGCCCACACTATAATTCTTTTAGATGTATCTTAATATTACTTCAACATTTACATCGTAGGATTTGAGGTTTTCGCGTCAGTGAGTCTGAGTTCTTGCGCCGTGTAGGCTGATAGAAGTTTACCGATGTTTCAGAGGTCCTTGCTGCCTCCATCGTCAGGGCACAATCATCTTAAACATTTACATCTCTCAAGTAGGGTCTTCCGTTTAGATATTAACTCCTCCCCCCCCCAAAAAAAAAAAAAAAAACTTGACGAACTTATCTTTCCCAGGCGAGCTACATACCCCGCCATGTCATCGTCCATTATTTAAACACCCTAATAACGACTGGTGAAGATGCCCACTACAAATTTCCTTCTTGTGTATATGTCTCCATATGTTATTTACTGATTCTTAAAGCTAACTGCTTTCGTATGCATTTCACAGAAACTCTCAACCTAAGCAACTGTACCAAGCAAAGCATAATACATCTGAATATTGTGTGTGCTTAGAGTCTTATTAACTTAAAACATCTCTTTTTTCAATAACGCAAATGCCTCTTTTGGTGAGCTAGTCGGAAGTTCGTGTAAAGTAAATAAATAGCTTAGACTTCGTGCGTAAGGCAAAACTACTTAACGACAGAAACTGAATGGTTCATTTAGAACAGCAGTGCACACAATGGGGTAAGCCTCAAGAGTACTTTTAGTACGTGTCTGCCCTTTGACAACTTTCACATACGCGTGTTACAATGGTCGGCTGACATGACAAATACATCGTCATGTATTATACAATATTTGTACTTTCCCGCTGTGGGGCATTAGAAGATCCAATGCATTTGAAAACAAAGCACTGAAGAAAGAAGGGAAATTAACTGTGGAGTAGTCACTCTGAAGAAGCTGGCGATAGATAACATATTCAAAATATTCATTGCCTTTCACAAAAACGAATGTCCGTTACAGTGTTTATTAGAACCAGCCAACAGATCTTATATCAAGCCAAATTAATCCATTCCATACACTCTTAATTTATTTAAGGGTGCATATAAGCAGCATCTACTAGTAGACTTTCAAATAGTCTATTCCCTCCGCGTTTAACTACCGAAACGGGCGTATTTATCATCTCTCTAATGCCTGATAATAATTAATTAAAATTACAAGTAACGTAACTTATCAGTAAGTAGTTTTCCCCAGTAAATCTCCTTCAGAGAACTCTTATTTAAACAAATTAAATAGATATAACTCGTAAGAGAGTCGTTTAAAAAAAGTGTTACAATTTAGCCTTTAAAGTAGAAGGCTTCAAAATTCCCGCTTCCACTGCTAGCCCGATTTAAATCGCACAGTTACGCTACGCTATGCATTTTCTTCGAGAAAACAATGCATCTTTCTTAAAAACCAACATAAAACAATGAAATAATTTACACATTGTTCAGAACAGTTTACTTTACCGCTTAGAGCCGTACACAAGCTATCGCTCTGCAAAATTACTTTTAATTAGAAGGAAAATCACACATATTTATATTTCCTGATATCATTCATATTTTAAAAAATATTGCGATATTGTTATTGTACTTATCTTTAAATATAAGCAAATTGTGTAAACGTTTCTTTTATTTTATGAAAACTATAGAATTCCTTGTTCCTGCAAAACACGCACACAAATATTGGTTCAACCAATTCTTCTCCCCCATAATACACCCTACAATTTGAGGGTCAGTTTTGCTTGTTACAGTTTCAAACACGTAAAAATAGACAGTCTAATACACCGTACTCCAAAACAGTGTTACTTAGTGTTACGTTAATCTTTTTCCAGACGGGACAACTGGGACGATTTTGTACTATCTTGATTTCTTATTTATTTTCCATTTATAGCCCTTTCTTCCTCCACATGGAAAAGGTCACGAACAAATTGTTTCCTAAATTACAAGAGGGTCATTTTACTTTATAAAGCTTCTGCATTATATCCACATGGAAAAGGTCACGAACAAATTGTTTCCTAAATTACAAGAGGGTCATTTTACTTTATAAACCTTCTGCATTATAAAATAACTTACGACAATCAAATAAAAGACATAAGATTTGAGGTTTTCAAAGTGGTGAGTCTAAAGATTGCTGTCTTCTGGGTTGTTGCGCCTTGTAGTCTGGTAGATGCCCACCACCATTTCAGAGGTCATACTGCCTCCGTCATCAGGGCGATGAATTCATCGTGCGCAACAACCAAGAAGAGAGTAATTTTTAAATAAAAACCTTTTTTGCTTGAAGTTCTGCGATTTACGCCAGACCTCTTGTCCATCCTGTCAACTGTATCAACATAGCTCTTACGTGTGTTGCTGTTTGCATTACTGGGGCTTCAAAGAACCAAAAATTCCCCTCAACTACAGCAGTACGTGTCAATCTACCCTTTACAGAACACTGCTGTGATATTACCATCATCTTAAACAAAATATCCCATTTTCTTATTTTCATGGCTCTAGAACCAACATTTTGTGGCATTCATTCTGTTACGCTAAAATATGTCACACACAAAAAGCAATTTTACTGTTCAGGTAATCGGTGGTAACGCACCTCAAATTATGGCGTATTTAGGTACAAACACTTTGCACCTACCCTACTTCTGCTTTTCTCTGTATGCTGTGTAGCATTATCAACATAATATTAAAACATTAACAAATATGTTTTGAACAATTGTGTATTTGGAACTATATTGTAATAATGATATTATAATGAACCTACAAATAAAATAACGTCGAAATATTCCAGGACCATTTATCAGTGTGAAGCCAGTATTTCAGTAGTGAGTGACCTTTCAGGTCAAATTACTGAAATACTTTACAGCCTTCTACTGAAAGTTTATTTGACAATTTCAGATTAAAGTCGAATATAAGAAGGCAGTTGCCTGTTTGAAATGTTAGCTATTAAAGGTAGTTTTGTACAAATATTTATAAAAAAGGGAAATGAGTCCTTTTAAAAAGAAAATTCATGTACATTATTCGATCGTTCTTATAGCGTACGCTGACATTGCTTTCGTGGATTAGAAACAAATACGACGATCACAAAGACATGTAGCATGCTAACGTGGTCCCACCTGATACGGGCTCAACTGCTTAAAAATATTATCTGTCTTTTATGGAACCGGAAGGTTAATTACCATATTCAAATGCGCCCGTTTCTGGACTCACTCCTGAGCCAGATGATCTAGTCCACACCTACGTAAAATTTAAGATCCATTGTAGTAGGTCTCCCATCTACGTCTAGGTTTACCATGTGCCTTCATAATTCTTGGTTAAATTTTGTATAAGTTTCGCAGTTCTCGGAGAAACCCTCCCACATCATTCTCATTGGTTTCATCGACCTAATAACATTTGGAGTAGAGTACAAATATGACGTTTCATTCAATGTATTAGAACTGCAACAGTTATTACAAAATGGGTGGAAATGGATTCTGACAGTTTGAGGGAAACATGGAAATATGAACATCCAGCGCAAACTACAGGCGTGAAGTTAGAAATTCTGTCTTCCAACTGTGAAATACAAACCATAAAACCAAGACAAATAGAAAGACGATTGCTAGAAAGTTACTAGTAGATTGTATAAACACACGTGTCAAATTACTGAATGTGACAAAGCCTGTACTTTCTCACACACGATATGTTCCGGCCAGTAACAGTTAAATTTGGTACCACGCCATTAAGACGTGTACGGGAGCGGAGGGTAGCTCCACTTATTATTAACCTCAAATCAAGTGATTAGATTCAAGACCGGGCAGACTGTTTCTAGCCAACTTTGTATTCCTGAGGTCATAGTGCTATCTGTCTGCCTGTCTGTCTGTAATCCCTTTCGACTTCTGACTGGTACACTTTCAAGAACTTTCTTACGAACTTAATGACATTGGAGGCAGTGATATGGAAAACCTTCAAACTTTTGTATGTAATTTTAGTTATAGGCGTGTGACAATTAAAATCATGACCAAGGTGCGCTATTTTGAATTATGAGACGAATTTAACATACTATCTGTACATAAGTAGTAAGTTCTTCATATGAAGACAGTAATATTACTGCTACTACTGGTTCCTAACCGAACACTACACCATGAACGCGTGTTGGAATGGTGAAGTTTAGTGATCATAAATAATTAATTAAGAATGCCAATTACACTGGAAGACATGGATCATTTTCAAAAATGTAACTTTTTTATACATAAAAGGAACTATTGACTAAAATGACACATAGTAGGCTACTTAGTGGCCTATAGATGACAGTTTTCTGTCTAAACATAAATCCAACAAATAATATACTCTGGTTGTCTTGTAGATGTTAACCAGTACTAATTACTAACTCCATACAAGTTTACAAATTGTGCATATGCTGAAGACTTATGCGTGTTTGCTGTTTGGCGCATGATGAATTTCAGGTCGTGTTTGGACTAGCTAGTCTGGCTGCTGTCGTCTTAGCATACCCAATCGAATACGAAGATTTTTCCCACTACGCACCAGCTCCAGTTCAGTATCAACATGGCGCCCCCTTGGCGAAACAGCTCGTAGTGGAAAAATACGTAAGTTGGCAGCGGAAACTCACTGCTTCATTTGTTGCTCTAAATTACTATACTTCAAGATAAGCAGACGTTTATAGAGTTTCTCTGCTTTGTTTATCATGTTGATGTTATACGGACATATATTTAATTTCATGCTTTAAGAATATTGATTTAGATTGGGTTCAAGTCAGGGACCCTTTAAGTACAAGGCTAGTACACCACTATTGGCACATTAACATTCTAATGAATAGCTCTGAAGTTCCAGAGTTAATGCGAACACTAGGCACTAATCTTAGAACAAAATAATAACATGTTTTAATTCAATATCCGTCTGTATGACTACCAATAAACCTAGCCCGGAGTAAATTCATCACCCATAACGTCTTATAAAAAATACAAGGTATTTCTGATCATTTCAGAGTTGTGCTGTGCGCACGAAAACAATAACAAATGTATACGTAAAAGTGGGTCCACGGACACTTCGTTTTCGAGGTATAACCCTGTTTCTGTGCACGCATCACGTCCCTAAATGTATGCTGTGTTTTCCAGAAACATCCTGTATACCTGATATACATAAAAATGTCAAACATAACATTGACATAGTGAATCAACCATTGTGGCCACGTTTGAAAACTGACTTTGTAATTTGTCATAACATTTATTTGTACTCCTTACGCTGTTTTTGTAGATGTTAATTAATTTTCAGCAATTTAATATAACAGAATATGCCAGTGAAAACGCGGAACCCTGGTGTTCTGTAGGGATCCTGCTAGTTCACTATGAACACAATCTAATGTATATTTCTGTAAAAAATCCATAATAATAACTGTGTCTGCCCGCAACTATCTATCGCCCCTACCAGAAAAGAAAACACGGTTAAGCAGACGATGTGAGCAGAATTAATACTCTAGCAAACTGAAACGTCGGGCAATGTCTATTGGACTAAACTGTGCTACAGAACACAGCAATCTTTACTGTCAAAAGATTTATGATAAAATGTTAAATGATCAAGAAATATCATCCAACTTTTACATACGAGTTTTATACCACGTAGTGCTTAAACATACTGCACAGTAATTAGCTGATAAATTAATATGATCTGTGTGAGTAAGCACTATAGATGAGCTAATAGTCCGAAACGTGTTTGCTACCTTTTCAACTCTACAGACCTTTAAAGACCTTGAGTTGTTCCTTCTTGTCATTTAGACATTTCTACAGACCTTTAAAGACCTTGAGTTGTCCCTTCTTGTCATTTAGACAGTAGAACTCCTTGGACGAGCGATTAGCCCGTCACAAGGCCTCTACCTATACAATACAGCGCAACACAGACATAAGAGGAAAACATTCTTAAGTGGGATTCGAAACATCCCAGTGTCTGAGCAATTAAGGTCCACGCCCAAGACCGCTATTAATTAATTTTTTAAAGAGTAAAATTACAAAAACTGACATAATCGTTACTGAAATAGTGATTTTATTTGATAGAACTTGTTTTAAGAATACCGATGCGTTAACAGATCAGCATGTTTTAATCAAACGCATTTCGTGGTTAACAGGCTCACCCCAAATACGAGTTCAAATACGGAGTTAACGACCAGCACACAGGTGACATCAAAGAGCAGTCAGAGCAGCGAGACGGAGATGTCGTTAAGGGTCAATATAGTCTAGTGGAGCCCGACGGAACCACCCGTACCGTCAAGTACACTTCCGATAAACATAATGGATTCAACGCAGAGGTTATTAAGTCCGGCCACGCGACTCATCCAGCTTCAGCCCCGAAGAAAGTAGCGGCTCCTGTAGTCTACGCCCACCAGCCTCTCGTTCAGGAGCATGTGCCTGTTAGCTTCGGGGGACACGACGTCCAGCTCGGCGGATTTGATTTCCATCAATGATCGCACAGCACAAAGCATACCACGTTGTATTCGTACTGTCAACCACTTTACCTCTAGAATCAGGTGTTCTGGAAAGAAATGTTTACTCACTTTAAGGAACTGAGAGAGCTGGCTGTAATAGTCTATGTAAGGAATTGCCTTTCATGTTAACACACATCTCTTTACGAGTTTGATTCAAATAGATTTATGATTATGTTAACTGGTGACATATTTATCAAGATGACATTTATTACTTCGAAAGCCAAACGGCCAAATAATAATTTACTTTCGTCTTACTGAACTTAATTCTCCTTAAATTTTACGATATGGAAAATTCGAATAACAAAACGAAAAAAAAAAACTTAAGGTGTATTATTACCACTCCAAAATTAAATTTACACAAAGATTATACATTCCTTTAAATAGCATATGACAAATTTGTTAAATATTTAAGAAACTTTCAAGATAACTGTATCACTACGTTCTTTGCAGGATCGGAACTAAAACCCAACAAGTAAAACGACATGTCAATGAGATACGTCATTTTGGTAAATAATTTATAAACCATAAGTAAAATTTATTTCTGATATCTATCACAAAGTCAGTCACAAGAGAGCAAAACTTAATTTTAATAGCTGTCAAATTTACAGTGGTCACGCAGTCTGAGGCATGGACCTCGTGCGCCTGGCCGCTGGGACCGTGGGTTCGAGTCCCACTCAAGGCATGGATGTTTGTCCGCGTCCTTTCTCTTCCAGTCTGATGGATAAAGACTGGCCACGGAAGGCAAGGCGAAACCACCGTGGTATCTTCGCAAGTAACAGCCCCGTAATTGGGGCTGCAAACCAATCCTAGAATTGATGACTAATTATTATATTATTAAATTTAAAGAAGGAACAATTTAAAAAATTTCGATTCGGTTTAATGTCTATAGAAAATTTAAGCTTATTATATGTAGCATATAATGTCATCGTTAACATAATGCTTATGTATGAACAAATGTAGCATAATTTTGTAGCAATTTAATTTGTCTGCATTGTTTTAAATATTCTTGATACCAGACGAAAGAACGTAGAGGTTCACAACAGACAAAGTAATGACAGGCTATTTCGTAACAAGAAATTTCATTAGACGAGCAAGTGTATTGGCTCATATTCCTAACATACGACTTTGGAACAAACTTTTAAAGCGTTCCAGTCTAGTCATGCGACTGAATTTCTCTATTGGCACTCCTACTGTGATCATATTCCAGGTGTTCATATTCTCACGTTTAACTTCGTTTAATGCAACTAGCACACTTCCAAGGTTTCAGTTATTTTTTTAAAATCGTAGTTAATACTGTAGATATGTATATCATAATAATAGGACGTGTTATTGACGATTTAATAGATCACCAAAGCTATTTTCACATGAACCATTAAAAGTATGTATAAATTAGAGCTTAATGTTGTGAAAAAATATAGAAAATCTGAAAATGCATATTTCTAAGATCAAGAAACAGATTCTCTTACTGTAGGTATCGCTAATATAAAAGCCATTTCATTTCCACTATTAGAAATTCAATAATAACAATTCTGTCTGTAAATTTGTTGGCTAAATTAGCGTAATATCAGATCTTTAATACATTTTAAATTCCATAGACTTATTATTGGTATCGCTTGTTATATGATTTGTGGGTAATACGTAAGAGATGCACTTTTTGTATTTTTATATGGGACTCAGTAATACTAGGTAATTATTGTTTATGACTGCACACATTTTATTTGTAAATAAAAAAATATCAACTTCAGTATGTTATATTACTGTAACTTGTAAAATGTAATGCCAAATTGTCAATGATTTATGGAATAATCTTTCCCAACCGCGTGTTCTTTAGTCGTTAGTGGTAATTTGAATTTATAGTAACCTCCACCGTTTATGGCAGATGACCTTGTTGGGAGAGCCCAGTATGCGGCCCACTCAATCAAATGGAAGGAAGCAAGAAGGAATGTTCCTCCTCTGACCATTTCAACCCATTACCCCTCTGCCTAAAAGTCCACAGCTCTATTGACCCTGCACAAGCCCTGCCCTGAACATACAGAAGAGACAGACATGTACCAGAGCGGCCAGAACAGCTTCTAGCCTATTTATCCTTGATTGGCAGGTCACAGTGAGCAAATTAAATTCTGCCCCTGCCATATAACACTAATATTGATTTGAGTTTATCAGTCATTACATTTATATCAGTGCCTTTCCTTTTCAATGCCGTTAAAGGTGTTACTCATTTTGTTTAATTACATCATAAAATAGTAACTCCTGACTCAAAGAACATAACGCCCCTCATACTATGTCATACCTCAGCATAACCAATCCCCTGAGAAATAAAAGACACTTCATATTCTGTGGAATCTCTCAAAATAATCAGTAAGAAGTGTTTTTCATGACAGGGCACTCATCGACCTGATATAGAGGCAGCAATGGCCTCCGAAACGTCGGTAAACTTCTACCACACTACATGGCGTAACAACCCAGAAGACAGCCATCTTAAATTTAAACTTTCATAAGCAACAAAGAGACCTTTCTTCGCTAAATACTACCCCTGTACTTAAAAATATATAATCTATACATATTAGACACTTAAACCTTTCTCTGTAGTTAGCTGTGGTCATGGATTTACATATTTTTGTTTAGATACATCTGTCCCAGGCCTGAACCATTAGTGTTCCAATGTATCGAGCCTTGCCTGATCCAGACCGCATGCTTCTGTTCAAACTCACAATACGACAACGTACTTTATTTCACACGAAACTAACAAAAATCACACATTATTTCATCTAAATTTTTAACGATTCTGTACGTTCAGTATAACACGAATTTAAATTTAATTTGTTTATAATATAACACAATTGCCCATTACTGATATAATGATTTTCTTGGAATGATCCAATTGCGTGAATGATAAGAATGATATTGTATTATTAATATTAAAAATCAGCTAAGGAATAAAGAAAATGTACGGTTCCATACAGGTACTCAACATACGCGGCTTCTTATCGCCCTGTTGATAGAGGCAGCAGTGACCTCAGAACTGGCCGTAAACTTCTACGGCACTACACAGCGCTCCAGCCCAGAAGACAGCCATCTTCATAAACACATACTGTCCACTCAATAAACATTATTTCATCATGTATTTTTATGCACTGCGTCTACTGATAAAGTTAACGCAAGTGTCGATTCCTGGCTCTTGGCTTGTACTACATGACTCACAGCCAAGCGATATATGGCGTTTCCGATACCAGTCAAGTATCGATCTATAGAAATAGTGAAATCAACTGACCTTTTTCACAACAATTCCTAATAGTGATCGGGAATTGAGAGGAAAATTCAACTTTATTAGTGAATGTATTGTATTTTGTTTCGTCAGATTATAGAAACATGCTATAAGACAATGAAATGGCTAATTCCATTCAATCAACGAGTTTATTACATTTTTGTACATTTTGAAGACGAGTGTGAAGAACAAGAAAGAATTGGATAATGTATTTTGTGAAACATACCTAATGAATTCTACAACATTGTTTCACTGAATTTTTATGGTGTAATAAAGCACACTAAATAATAAGGTAAGTCATCTTAAAGGTTTATATAAATTAACTGCTATAGTGCAGAAGTTACTGCAAATTATATTCTTGTTTCAGTGGTAGTGCAAACCGAAAAATATAAAATATTAAGACCTACTTTCACCGCAAGTTACTGTAACTTTACTGAAGACAGCATGGCAAGTGTCCCGAGATACTAAGTTATATCACGAGAATAACCACGAGTCCTCTTGAACGAATCAAAACGTAACCTAAATCAGTTCTACACATCTTGTTGCGGTATTATAACAGAGGAAATTGCCAGGGGCAATGACAAACCTGTTTATACGTTCGAGGAAAAAAGGTTAGTAACAAGAGTGAAAGCGAAATGTGAGGAAAAAATCAGGATGAATCAGCAAGCATACGCTTATTTCTGCTTTGTAATGATGTCTCGGCCATAACCTTGCAATGCCATAAAATAATATAAGTTACGCTGGGAACAGGAAATATACGGGACACTTTGTACAAGATTCTGGCAATATATAAACGGAAGGAAATTCAAACAGGGTAGGAGAGATCGCAGATTCATTTTTAAGAAAGAAACATTATGGAAAATTACACGAAGATTATGGCAAATTAGAGTGTTATACAGGAAGAATTTGAAATTATGGAAAAGTGTGGGTGAAATTAATTGTGATAAAAATAACTTTAAAACAATTAGCTGGTGTAATAACAATCTTTTCCCTTTTCACATTGTAGTCTCTTCGAATTCATAGACTTTTAAACCGTCTTATCAACTCATCATTATTTGGTGTCTATTTAAAAGTAACTTTTTTCGTCTCTGAATGTTATTGGCGATTGTGTTGAATTACCAATTTCAAATTTTTGGATTATTTGCTCGATAGGTGTGTATAATTTTAATAAATATTTTAAATATTATTAATCTCAGATAGATTTTTGCACAGCTGGATTATACAGACGTTGCCCTCGGTGGTCTGGTGGTAGCGTGAGGTCGAAGTCGATGGATTTTTAAATGTGATAAAATTTTAAGAAATTTAATTATTACTGCTTCCGTTTTTATAGGATACAAGTATTACCTGAACGCAAGTTTCATTTCTATGTAAAATTAACCTATCATTTCCTTACCAATTTATAATATCCAACGCGAGCTGCTAGACAAAGTTCATTTTTCGGGAATTAAATACCTTACACCTACATATAAACCTATTCAACTACAAACCATCATTCCAATACACCCACTCATATGGAACCAATCCATCCATACAACCACTCACCCATCCACGTACGCGGTCTAACTCCACGAAGAAAAATTCAATCTTAAGAAGCTAACAGTAGCTTAAATAGTCAAAATCTTCATTCCTTTTACGGAAACCGAATACTCGTTATGTTCACAAGAGTTCGCCATCTATACTTAACCCATTTCATTAAGATATGTAAATCTTTGGACGTATTTGGCATAAACATTGTCTCCCTTGAGGGCACGTTCTCAATAAGGGAAATGATCTAGATAGGTTGTCTTGGTAGATGATCTAGCTTCGTTATCTGTTTTTTATATTTCTTTAACGTTTTACAATTATATTAGTGTTCCCTAGGTGGATTATTTGCTTTTATTTATATTTCTTCATTTATTTTGCTTTGTGTTAATATTGTTTCTATTTTGGGCTTGCCTGTATTTGGCAGTTATATTTAATACTGTACATGTATAAGTTTAGTTAATCCGTTTGTGTACTATTATCCATTATTATTTCACTATTATTGTATATATTATCAGTGTTTGCCTGTTATTGGCTTCTTGCTGTTGGCAAACACGTAAATAAATTAATTGAATTGAATTGAATATTGTATTCCTATTTAATGTCTTCTTGTTATGTTCTCCTACTAAAAATTGCATGAATTTCCAATTTCTTCCATATCTGAGTTCGTTTGTCTGATAACCTTAATAATATTATATAATAGTAACTTGGTGCGGAGTACAATTCTCCAAGTTCAGGGGGCGGCTTCCTGTAAATAAGGCAATGGATTATCAGTTTCCATCAACGTCAGAGAAATTCACTGTCTAACTGGGAGACGATCAGCTTCTCAAGCAGATTCTACTCTGCGGCTATAAGTCCAGTTTCAGCGTCCGGTTTCGATTACTCAATAAAAATCACAATAATTTCCGACTACGTGGGCCTACTGACTGTAACAGACAAGTTGATTTCTTTAAAACTAGATCTAGCGGATGTACAGAAACGGATGTTTGTCAGGTCCGATGCTTGACAGGTTTACCAGTCTTGTGTACTTGGCTGACCTTGTAATTCACACTAATGGGACCGGTTGTGCTAGGAGGAAGGTTATCGGTTCTAGAGCGAATAGCATACATAACATCTTCTGAAGTTTCCATACGATTCTTAAAGACAATGGCCATACTTTCAGAGGTTATGTTGTATGTTTGTAAAATTTAATGTCTTACACACAGAAAAGAAAAAAAAACACCACGGATATTTAAAACAGGGCACTGCATAGAATATTGGTACCAAAGGATAATATTAAAATGAATATGAAAAATGGTGTTTGTCTGTGGGATGCAGAAATTCAGTGGTGTGCTTCACTAAACACATTTATTGACCTTCGGGTCTCATTAAAAATGGGGAAATTCTTGACTACCTGAACGACCGTTGCTTTCCTCCATTAAAAAGACAGGTACTTAGTGTGTGGGTATATGGCCATATCGCTGTACTTAGTGCGGCATCATTACCAACAAATGATTAGATGACTGTTAAATTAAAAGAAAAACAAAATTTTATTGTATCCATGGAAAATGTCAGCTCTTAAAACATGATAATATTATATCATCGTTAGGTTTGATAACTGCGGGAATAAAATGTGTTAATGTGCGTTGATTTTAAATTATGTAATCATTTAACTGATTAAAAATTTGTTGCCTTTCACTCTGATTTATCAACAATAATACTTTAAAGCCCAGCTGTAACTATATTTACCACCTATTTCAATATTCAGTAACTCTGTATTATCCCCAAAGAATTTATTTACGTGATTCGTATGATTCTTAAAGTAAATAGCATTTTCCCTAAACCACATTAACCAACTCATATTTTAAATGGAAACGCACAGTTTTCTTTGAGGCAGGAACTCGATTCTTAAGTACTATATAAACTAACTTCATGATTCAAAGGATTAAGATAACAGCGTGTGGTCAGTAAGTCTATTT